AGTTTCAGAAAATATGACAAAAACTTATTTTTACAAAAGTTACCTACTGCATCTTTAATTGTATTTAATCTATTTGTAGTTGGAGATGAATACAACATCTCAGTCTCAGTTTAGTGACACTAAATATAAATTTCTGTATTAGAAATATGGCCTTAACTTTTTTATGCACCAATTCTATTAAACTTTTTTTCTGGTTGAAGAACCCAAGACTTCACTGTGTCTCCTCCCACTTCTGAAACCAAACCTGTATTTATTGATCGTTTTTTAAAAATATGATTAAATTTAGGTGCACAGAGTACTGACATTATATTATTACCACAGTATTATCTGTGTATAATATAGATAATATAGATAAAACCCATGTCAGTAAAATGTTAATTAGTAATTTTACATTAATATTTCAGTTGGTGCTCCACAGCAAAGCCTTTAGGTCATGTCAAACTACTGGACCACAGACGACCAAAGCATTGTGGGTAATGAGTGGTCTCGATCACGGGACAGTACTATGTGGTCACAACTCCTTAAACAACCTTACAGCCTCTGAGCCATGTTGTCAACCCACTGTACATCACTTGGACCAGCAGACTAAATGAGCATGGTGGCCTCATTAAAACCCCCAGGCCTAGTGTGGTCTCAGAGACTTCTGTCTACAACTTTTGCATACTGCACGTCTTCAATAAAATGGCATGTTGTTGTATATGCTTGTGTTAGAAAAAGGCAGCAACCATAATCTGACTCAGACTTGCATAAAGACACAAGACTCCTCCAGTATTGTTATAGGTCCCACCTTGGCCTCCATGGCTTTTCTATGACTTCCATGAATAAACCAAAGCACTTCTTTGACCTATATTTTGTCCTACCTGGTTTGTTGAAAATTGCTTAGACCAACTGAAGCTAAAAACTGTCCTCTAATGCAACGAAAATGGAAAACAAGCTTATAATTACTGGGGCATATGTTTTAATTTAAATTCAATTGCGTCAAACTCAAGAAACAGTTGTTTAGAATCATTACCATTACTTTATGCTTAGATATGCTATGGCTAGGCTAATCTATGTTGAAAAGATAATCAAATGTGCAAGATAGTTAAAAAAAATAAATAACATATACATAGTAACATCTTATGTTAGCTAGCTAAAGTTGGCAAACGCTTGCTAACTAAATAGCTAATCTACATCAATTGTTAGCTAGCAAGTTATATCTGATTGCTAATGTTAGTAAAACGCTTTCTAACTAAATAGCTAATATACTTCAATTGATTTTTAGCCAATGTCTTGCTAACATTAGCTAACTTAAGATGCAACTATATGTTGCTTTTATCTTTTAAGCATCAAAATGTAGTTGTCTTTTCACATAGAATAGCCTAGCACATAGCATATCTGAGTACAGGAAGGGGAAAATTGGCCGAAGCTTGCTCAGCTGTTATTGGAGCACATAGAAAAAAGGGGCTGGACTTAGGTCTTTTTGTCTTTGCTATCGGTCCAATGAGATCTGTACTTCCTAATTAACCCCTCCTGTGGTCTCAGTCCATTAGAGATAATTAGAGAAACGGAAGAGGAGAAAGTAGCTGTGTGCCATTTATAGAGGTTAACAGTAAAGAACAGCACAGACTGAGCTGTAAAAATGTAGACATTTACTGCTAAGAATCTTAATAAGTGAGATTTTTTCCATTCAAGGTTGACTTTCAATTGAAAATTGCAAATTTTTTTGAGCGTGAGAATTTCAGTGGGTAACAGAAACATGACTCTTGGTTCCCATGGTGCTTACCCAGGATGAGAATGGTGATTCCATTGAAGACAGCTCCTACGTAGGTGAACAGCCACATGACCACAGCCAGCTGGTGAGAACAACAAACAAAGAAGGCCACAGGGCAACTCAGAGAGGTTTAGCATTTTTAACATCCAATACTTCATGTACACCTAGCTCAGAGTTCTCAATCATCACTTATGACCCACTAGAAGCGTGTGGTGAGGTCTATCTACAGAGACTCTGCTGCCCTCTGCTTGTATTTTCTCATTTTGCTGTGTTCAGGACATTTCTTGGCATGCAGGGTCCATGTTTGGGACTATATAAATAAAGCAACCAGATCAGATCAGTGTCTGTCTCTCTTCTCTGCTCCCTGTCTGTGTAATGGATGCATAAGGAGGTACGCTTCAGCTTCACACTAAATCCATACTTCCTCCAGGGTTATGTGGCTTTTAAAATGTAACCACTGTAAAACAATCAGAAAACAACATTTTATTTGCTTTTGTTCTCGCCAACGTCACTCCCACTACTCATTTATGCTCTATTGTATCTTTGGTCGCTCAAGGCGGGGAGGAGGGGCCCGCTCTGAGTTGCATTTACAAACAGCAATAGACAAACCCAGCAATCCTTTAAATAAAAGTGGCCTACACAAACTAATAAACAGGCCAGATAAACATTGATGGTTCACATGGTAAATTCTGATTAATCTCCATTTTATATAATAGAACACTATTTATAGTTTTAAATGATAGAATTTATATGTATGTGTGATCAATGAGCATGACAGTGGTGTTGAGGGCTTTCCAGGCTGATCCGAGCAGTGAAGGAGAAGTGAAGGCAGCTTATGGAGCTTTGTGCTGCTGATCTCATATACAGTTCACAGCATTATATGTGGACTGAGTATTACGGCTGCCCGGCTGATAGTAAGATTGACAGCAGCTCTGCCCTGATGGCTGGTTACTATAATCTGATAGGCTGGCAGCGGCTGTGCTAAAGTGCAAGCAAAGAAAAAGCTCCCTTTCTCCCTCTTTCAGCTGTCGTCTCATAATTTCTCATGTTGATCCGGGGCTGTCCAAGTAGAAAATAAGTAAGAACAATTTTCTTCCCCACACAATAAAAACGGTTGTGGCGTTCAGACCTTGGATAAAACGTGGTTTATATAGCCAGTTAAATCATTAATCTTACAGGACACACCTCACTACAACTGCAAGTGTTTATATTAGTGAAACAAAAGCAGCTGTGAACAAGTTCCAAAGATGCGACTACACGCCCTGCACACTCATGAACCACCCAGGCAGGTGTTTTCTTGTGTAGCCTGATCAGACCTCTTGTCAGGGCTGTGTAGGTGTGGACAGACTGACTGTTAGCTCCCTGTTTCTCCTGTTAGCTTTGTTGCACCTGTTAGGGAAGGACAACTCATGTATTGTGCATTGGCAGACTTTTAATCATTCAGAATAAGCCCAAACACCTGTATGGTTGTGAAGAATAGGTTTGAACTTTTTCTAGTCAGCTTAACAACCCATATTTTTGGTCTTTTAAAAAGCAGAACTTTTAAGAAGGCATGCAAGGCTTCCTTGCATTTCCACTGTACTTTAGAAAGTGGGATGTTTTGGATATACGTCATTAAAAAAAGGCCACAGCGGGACTGTCCTCGTTTTTGTGTGCTGTCTGGTAGGCAAGAGAAGTAAGCAGTTGTGGGACAGACAACAATAGAACAGATGGTGCTGGTATCGATTTTCTATCATATCATAAATAAGGGCAGAGCTGGGTCGGCACAAGCTGGTTGGAGGTCGAGAATAACGTCTACTACACACATTGTGATTTTTTGTGTCATATTATTGTTTCATCTTTGTGTTTTGTATCCCTCATTTCTTCTTAATTTAATTTAAATAACCGTTGACAACCAAAGAGAACATTATCCAATATTTCACAAGAGAATTAGAGACATGTTCAAAAAATGAATACTTTGTGTGCAGAACTTTTTTTATTCCAACCCCCATTAATCATCTCACGACCCCTCCGATTTATCTTTTAACTTGGGATGGTTACAGGGGCCAGTTTTTTGCAGGATAACTATGTTTTAATTTTGATACAAGTCAATTTTTCTGATAATACTTCTGTATATTTCCTTAAGAAGGGTTTTGAATGGACTTGTAATGGTGTTGTAATGAAATATTGATAGACTTGAGTATTGCAATATTTTGTTCTGTGATATTATATTGTTTTTAATTCTCAAAAACGATTGCTTTTTGTATTTAAACCCCAAAGCGCTAGATAGCAGTGTTGTAAATGTAAACTGAGGGCTATGATGTTGATGAACTTCTTTTACTCAAATTTGATGCATATAGTAGGGTGTTCTTTATACTATGACAGTTGTCCTAAAACATTTGATTTAAAAACAAAAACAAAATTGCAATACTGAATTAAGATTGAATCGTAACCCCTATATATCGTGATATGCATCATATCGGCGGATGCTACCAATACACAGCTATGGAGGTTTATTTTTTACATTAATGTATTGGTACTTTTACTTAAGTAGAAGATCGGATTACTTCTTCCATCAATGCCTTTTTGTGATTGGATGACATGTGCTTGATCTAATATTTAAGGGGACAAAGGGACATTTTGTACTACAAAGACTAACTTTGTAAGATCTAGGTTTAAAATGAACAAGATGTCAGTTCATATTAAATGCTTGTTTAAAGTATAGATAAGAGATTTGTTAGATTCGCTTCCTCTTCTCATTGTCATGAATCATCAACTTGTTTATTCTGTTGTCTCTATTATCCGTTAACTGTCCCTACTATCAACTATTTACTTGTATTGTTATTTACAACACCTTATTTCAGCTCTCACTGCTACAGTAATGTGGTTAAAGTTTCATTTAGATACAGGGAAGCTCTTAAGTGGAATTCAATATTAGAGATTGTCTATCATTCACATTCATCTTTGTTGACTTTAAAAAACACTGGAAACTTCCCAATTAGGATATAGATATTTTTTCATCCTTACTTTCTTTATTTTGTAGTAGGCTTTTCATCCCTGGTTTTTACTTAATTACTAATACTAAGTCTTAGCAAAGGTCAAGACAGACGTTCCTAGCAGGTCCCAGAGAAAAGCTCAGGAAAGCAGCTGCTCTTTGATAGAGGTGAGGCGGTTAACCAGTTTGTCTTCATCTTTGACATCTTATTTTGTAAAACTGTAAAATATTGTTTGAAAAAGATGAAGCATATAGGCCAAGATCACAGGGAAAGAGCTGTGTTTCATGACAGCTAGATAATCTGTGTGATCGAATTGTAGTTGCTGTATTACATTTTCTAAATAATTATCATTTAACAATATAATCATAATCACTGGGGTTTATTTTAATGATACACATCAGATTCTGGCTATAATTTGCTTGATTTCCCACTCGCGATGAGTTACCGCTGTACCAATCAGAGCTCTAAAAAGGCTGCACCCAGGAGAGGAGTCTTTATGGGACAGAGTGGTAATAGGTTCCCATTATAAAGCAGACTAAATGATTAGAACTCAATGATAGTGGACAGTGACTGAAGGGCTGGAGCTGCTTACCTTCAGGGAGTCCACGAGGTCCTCGACCAGGAAGAGGCGGCTCATCTGCTTCAGGGCTCGGTTGATGTAGGTCAGACTGGTGTCCACGTGCTTGCGGAAAGTCTCCGGAGGGATGCTGACATCCTTATCTATCAGTGTTCTGCACAGGGGGGAAAAGGAGGAGGGGAAGGTGAGTGCAAAATGAGGCTTAGTGTCCAGGGTCAAAAGTGCCGCAGGGAAACATGCACTGTGGTGAACGGCTGTAAAGAGGAAACTAACAGGAGGATTTCATTCTTTCCTTTTTCAGAATCTGCATGCATGTTGCACAAACTGACCAGAATAATCTGTGTGAGGTTTATGGGGCTGTTGATCAAGACCAATGGCACAATAATTACTTGGGTAAGTCTAGAGATTTCTTACTTTCAAAACTGAGTTTCCAGTCTGTACTCTTGGAAAGCCAGGCATGAGGTTTTGAAACTTAAGTGGCTGAAGAGTAGTTTCATAACTGAGAATTGAAACAACTTCATATTTTTTCCCATTTGGAATGGACCTACCATGAAATTATCACCTCAGCTGTTTCCCCTGTTGCCTTGCTTATTTGTGATCTCCTGCTGTTTAAATTTGTCGTTAATGCTGTTGCACTGTTAATACGATCTAAAAACTTTTTTACAGTAAGAAATACTGTTTTTATAAAATTGTCATCTACTTTCCCTTTTTTCTCAATTGCTGTTAAGTTGCAGTCACTTCCTGCACAGGTGATTCACATTAAAAGCTTTCAGCAGCTCTTAACTTTTAACTTGAAACAGTTGCAGGAAGTGCTGTGTTTTGATTGAAAAAATAGTTTAAAAAAAAAGTAGAAGGGAATCAGTTAGTGGATAAAAACAGCATTTGTTAAAAGGAGAAACTCAGAGCAGACTGTTATTGTGCTGATGGAATTTGTACTGTGGAAATGTAAACTGCAACCAAAATTTACAATGTGAACTATTACAGTAAAGGTAATTCCACCGCCCCATTTTTTTATTATTTTTGTTTGTATTGTTTGTTGGGAACAGCTTCTATTTGGGTTTCCATTTTCTGAATGCTAGGCTTTAATTTCTGAGTGCTGAAATTATTTGTTGGGTTCAGCTGAGGATTGAAAGGACCAGTGTGTAAGATTTTGTGGCATCTAATGGGGACTGAATGACCACTCGCCTTCCAAGTGTGTAGGAGAAACTACGGTAGCTGCGATACTCTTGAAAAAATATAAAGCCCCTGTCTAGAGCAGGTTTTTGGTTTGTCCTTTCTGGGCTGCTGCAGAAACATAGTGGTTTAACATGACAGACTCTGTAGAAGAGTAAATACTCCCTCTGTAGATAAAAACGGCTCATTCTAAGGTAACGAAACAGCTTCGGTTTAAGAAGAAAAGCAATTTTTGCACTTGGGAACTTAAGATGGGCATCTTCCATGAACTAAATTATTAATGTAAAACATAACAAACATATGAATTGATAATGAAATCTGTTAGTTGCAGCCTAACTTGAGAATGTCCATAGCAGTGAGTGAACCAGGAAAAAGAAGCGCACAGCTTTCAACTTCATATTACTGGGTGTGCAGAGGTAAGTATCCATTCCAGCTGCTCCAAAGTAGAATTGTGCTATTTTCACACTACTGCAAGAATTTTCTCCTTTTCTGGAGTATATGGCTTAGAGGCTTGATGAACTATGAGGAGGATTTAGTGTTGCGCCTTTGAAGAGGAGCTGGACTCTATGAAGCATGCTCCCGGGATCTGGCTCCACCATAAAAGTTGTTCTATAAATAAAAGCAGGGAAGGCAGAGGTTACATCAGGCAGCTCCAAGCCAGCCTGACCTCTAACATTAGCAGTCTTTAAAACTGCGTGTGGTTAAATGGTTTTAAACATGTGGCAGTGTGAAGCAGCAACATGGCTTGGTTTATAGTTATATCACAATCAATCATTTATCCTCCTTGTATTATTACACACAGACGGACAGGATAATACTTTTTTCCTTTAGGGTTACTTCAGGTTTTGTTCTAGAGTGCTGCAGACTTTGCAGCAGCACGTGCAAAACGTGAATCTGCATCCCTTAGCATTAAGCAACCTAGCTAGTTTCAATGTTAAATTTTTTAAACATTTTCTTTCCCTCCAGAATGTAAAGATCTTAAAATTACTGCATGTTTGAAATGGGGGCTCGTCCAGGATATTGTTAAAGGATTCCCTCTCCTCCCCCTCATAATATTTCCTTTTGTCACTCCTTAGTGTTGTCTTATCAAGTCTGACCAGCAAGGTGAAAAAAAAATTGGGGGGAGCCTCACCCATGCTCTGTTTCAGGGACTGTTTTCACACAGACCTAAGTCCTAAAAAAAAGTCCTAAGAGAAGCACAGACCACTTCGCCAAACAAGAACAAGTAAGAAAAGGTCAAAGTAGAGTTGTAATAAATTTTCCTCTTACTTGAAGGGGTGTCCATCGCTAGACTTCTGCACGGCCTGAATGACAGACTTGTAGATGCGAAAGGTGATGGTGACGCAGAGCAGGGCCAGCAGCAGGTAGGACACCACGCTGATGACGCTGAAGGCTGCCAGCGACAGCAGCAGCAGCATGGACACGCCGAATACCAAGCCCGACTTCTTGGGGTCTCGCCAGTGGATTAGATCCTTAACTACATAGAGGAGATGGAGGGAAGGGGGTTAGACTGGGATATTCATGATTTTACGCGGAGCACAAAATTAGCACCAGCCAAATGCTGGTAAAATATGCAAGTGGCTGGTAGATTTGCTTCATCCACAAGCCAGAAAAAAACAATGGTAATTTACTGAATTTGAAAATTTACTAGCCATTTGGCCAGTGGACAAAAGGATTCATTTTAAGTGATATTATTTATCGTCCCATCCCTATAAAATACGGGAAATTGGAAATAAAGTCAGTTCCCGATTATAAGCCTGGTCCAAATTAAGGTCTGGTTCTCTCTGCAACAACTATGGGAGAAACCAGATATTTTGAGCATTGAATACCAGAACAAATTGTTTGCAACTGGTTGCTTTAAGGAATGGCAACCATAATGGCAACCATTATCAGCCAGGCCCAGAAAAATACACCCCCTACTCTGCAACTCTAGCCCAATAAAATATAAATATGCACCATAAATCTTCTTTGGCATCTGCAGTTGAGACTGAGAAACACGCATTGCTGTAGTTTCATTGCCGTTTCATGTTTGTATGCATGTCTTGTGAGGAGTCGTGCATGCAGAAGTGATAGCCTCTATACAAGGCTGTTATGTAATGCTGGAACACGTTGGCACTAAAAACTGCCACTCCTTCCCCGTGCGTGGGGAAAAAGGGGGTATTTAAAAGAGCCTTGTGTGAGTGGTGGAGAAACCACGTGGACTGGTGCCTCAGGGACAGTTCGGGCCTCAGTGCTCCTGTGAGTTTAATGGGAACACACGTTATATAGAACCTTCACACACACGTCACAGAAAACTGAAAAGAGCTAAAGCAAACTATTTGCTTTTACATAGGACACCGGACTCCCATTACAGTCAGAAATGTATAAAGCATACATTTCACTTTTTAAATGTTATTCCTTAGCTTGTGCAGTACAAAATCAAAAAGACCTTTGTTGTTTTAGAAAGTTTAAATCTCCTTAGAGACCCACTCTATCTTTTTGTCTTTAGCCACATGGAATGCAGAATTTTAAATCCTTTAGATGTTACTGACTGTGAGCTGGGATTTTAAAAGCAGTGAGAAGTTGGACTTGTTAGAGATGTCTCATGTACAGTATGCAAACGTGAGTTAACAGAACATGAAAAACACAAAAAACACAACTCAATATGCTAAAAAAACTGAATAAAGCAGTTACGCCTTAAAAATCACTGTTTCTCCCACACTGTGACAGACAAAGGAGGGGCTGCGAGCCGAGCTGCTGCTAACGTTAGCTCAGCTT